GTCCATTTGTCAGAAGCATAAATCTGCATAAATCTCTATTTTTGATTTTGGGTTGAACTGTCCCTTTAATGGTGCCAAACTGTAATCAAATATAGGCTTTAATTAATCAGAATGTCCCATCAATATCTTTGTTAAATCTCTAGAACTAAATCCATTCATAAAATACATTTTACATTGTAGAAAAATACAGTGTATTATATAAAAGAAAGAAAAAACTAATTATGAGGTTTGAGAGAGAATAGAGTAATATGATTAAGTATTACTTAAGCATTGGTACTAATTACTGTTTGCTGATTAGATAATAATGGATTCAAGGTATTATGCATCGCAAACAGACTTTGGACTTTTTAGTGTAATCCCTTTAAGAGAATAATGTTTTATCTGTGCAAAACAACAACAGAATCAGAAAATAGAAAAGTCATATTTAAGATCACCCCAGATTCACTTGCATGAGGCAACATATCACTTCCAGCTGCTGTTAAACTTTGTTTATTGAACGTTTGATTTGTGTTTGTCAGGGATAAGGCGAAGGAGCTGTGGGAGTGGCTGCACGACCTGGAGGCGATTAAATACGACCACTGTGAGAGGCTCAAGAGACAGAGATATGAGGTCAGTGAGCAAATGGTGTATTACTTTGTTCACACATCAAAGACTACAATTGAAAACGTTTACATTGATTTCATGGAGCATACTGTATCTGTCGAAGAAGTAAATACCTTTTTCAGATTTCTAGATACATAAGTTGAATTTACTAAAAACATAAGCAAGACTTCAGCACTTCTTAAATAAATAAAAAGGGTGTTGTCATGCTCACTGATACATGTTGATAGGTCAAAATCCTCTCTTTGTTTTTCCTCCATTGGGTAAACAGGATTTTACTTAAAAACTGTGGACTGTGTTCAATTGGTGGTCATTTAATGTGGAAAAAGCTGCATGTTGCAGCTCAAAACAGATAATATCAAAGTTCTCGAGGTGTGAAAGTCATTTCCCTGATATTTCTGCTTTAAACACCACTGTTTGTCTTCCAGGTGATCTCTCTCAGGAACCGCATTGATGAGCTGCAGAAACAGTAAGGCCGTCAGACAATCAAATGAACTCTGCACCACAGTTCAACACAGACTGATAGTATTTCTTAAAGATAGAGATTTCTGTCCTGTCAAGTGCATTTGAATATTGCCAATGGTCAATTGGTTACTTTAAGTCTCAAAACGTTACTTAAAGGTAGGGTAGGTAAGTTTGAGAAACCGGCTCGAGATTGCTAGAATTTGAAAATACACAACCGGAGAAAATCTTCCACTTCCTTATAGAGCCCCTCCTCCAACACACACGAATGCGCACATGACCAATGAGGGCACGAGATAAGTTTGTGCACAGATGGAAGGCTGACAGGCAGGTAGGCCATCCAGTTATTTTAGCCGGGCTGGCTAAAATGATTGGTCGTGCTTTTTACAGTACTACGGCTTCCACAGATGACATTTTTTTATGGATTTTTTGTCAAAGCACTTAAGATATTCATTGCTATCGGGATGTTAAGAGCATTCCATGGAATATAACAAAAAGTGTATCTCGAGCCGGTTTCTCAAACTTACCTACCCCACCTTTAAGTAGGCCTACAATACTTCTATTTAGTTAGACTCCACAACCTAATACAACACTTGGCTAACTTTTATGATTGGTTTTACTTCAGATTTTATTAGCTTGGTTTTACTTCAGATTTCATTTTTGATAACATATCATTTGCAACTGTTTAGCTATATTGTTGTAACTAGCTTGTTTAAACACCAGGGGGCGATGTAGCTTCAAGAAATTGTTCCAGTAGTTTGTTTGTTTCCCACCCTTTGCAATGTTATGAAATGGGTATCCATCTATAATTACACCCACCATAAGAGGATCACTGCACACATCTGACTCTGTTTCTGCTCTTTGCGCTTTGCAGCAGCAAAAAGGGAGCCGCCTCCCGCCGCAGGAAGTGAGCGGCTGGTGACTGACGGTCGGTCAGCCCGGACAGGAGGCGCCTTCCCTCGGATACAACAGCGGCTAAGACCCCGTAGAGACCCGGAGCTCAGGTGGACGTCTTAGTTTCTGCTTGAGTTTTCTGGATGAATTTAGCTTAAATAAAGACATTAAAAAAAATATCATCACTGTGTTTGCTTTTTTTTAATATATATAATGTTTGTGTGGATTTAATTGATTACATTCATGTCAATAAACAGCAGATTCATGCAGTTCTTCAACACAACAATTATGTTTTAATATGTTCGGATATTTATTTATTTTCAACAACAACAATATGCCTGTTCTTCTTACATATACATGAAATATTGTTTAAATGTAATTTCAACAAAACATGTACATACTATAGGCCTACTATGACTTTTATTACATTTCTTTTTAACAGACTATACTTTGTTGTTTTTTATGATTTAAAAAAAACTGACATACTTTTTCAACATTATCATAATTTGTCATATTTTGTCATATTTTTGACATACTATGTCTAGGCTATAGTGAAAGTCAGGAAATCCTGAGGTTTAACATTACTGAGGACCTATGGACTCATCATATGACATCCTTTCACAAACTATGCATTTGTTGCATACATTTTTGATACACTATACTTTTGATATTTACTATACAACGCAGTTTTTCATACTATGATTACTTTTTGTGATATTTTGGATACGATGCTGTGCTGATATTTCAGAATGTGTGTGTGTAAGGGAACTCACAAAATCTCCGAAAATAAAACCCTCTCTCTTTTCCTCCGTACCCAAATCTCTAAAAACGGGGTTACAACGGAGCTGATCCAGATGTTCTGCCGAAATTTGGGCTGGCTTTACTCCCATGGCGCTATCAGAGACGTTGCTATCAGAAACAATGCGCAACATGTTTTGGACGTCATATGGTTTGTGTTTACATTAGCAAGCATCGCTAACACTGAGAGCTAACGCTGTATAGGAGAGAGTATGTGTAAAAAAGCAGGATATAAAAGGAACTCACCTTGTGGTACATAATACACTGTTTAGCTGAGTATCTGGGTAGAATTCTCCTGCATGAGCTCTCGTCTCAGCTCCCTAACCCAGACCCGGAATCAGCACTTCTCCAACAGGGCTGAATTAGAGGGGTATGAGCCGAGGCATGGCTAGAATGGGTGATCTTTTTGGTATTTTGAGCAAAACACTTCATAGACATGTTTTTTATATATCTGGGACCTATAATATACCTAAAAATAGGAGACCTTTAAATGTTTCGACATTCAAGACTTTGACTTTTTTATCGACAGACTATGTGTATTTTCTGATGTACGACATACCATGCCGTTTTAAAAAATATATTTTTCGACTTTAAAGGTAGGGTAGGTAAGTTTGAGAAACCGGCTCGAGACAGGCAGGTAGGCCATCCAGTTATTTTAGCCGGGCCGGCTAAAATGATTGGTCGTACTTTTTACAGTATTACGGCTTCCACAGATGAAATTTTTTTATGGATTTTTTGTCAAAGCACTTAAGATATTCATTGCCATCGGGATGTTAAGAGCATTCCATGGAATATAACAAAAAGTGTATCTCGAGCCGGTTTCTCAAACTTACCTACCCCACCTTTAAATACTATGTCCTTTTTTTGTGAAATTTTTCGACATGATTTTTATGATATTTCTCGGCATACTATACTATAACTTTTTCGACATACAGTAGTACAGAATGGTTATTTTCGACTAGTTTTCAGGTTATTCGATGTCGTCTTTTTACGGAAACTTTCTACAAACTATATTATACTATGACATTTTTTCGACTTACTATACTAGGTCGTTTTTTATAATATTTTGGAGCTTACTATAATATAACTTTTTTGGGACTTACAATGCAATGTTGTTTTTTTCTGATATTTTCAACTAACTATACCATGACATTTTTTCGACAAACTATAGAAAGTCTTTTTTTTTATTATATTTTTGCCATACTGTAATATGTCTTTTTTTCGGCATACCATACTTAATTTGTTCAGATATTTTCAACATACTATGATATTTTTTTCGACAAACTTATACTATGTTGTCTTTATATGCACCCTTAAAGGTGGGGTAGGTAAGTTTGAGAAACCGGCTCGAGATACACTTTTTGTTATATTCCATGGAATGCTCTTAACATCCCGATAGCAATGAATATCTTAAGTGCTTTGACAAAAAATCCATAAAAAAATGTCATCTGTGGAAGCCGTAATACTGTAAAAAGCACGACCAATTATTTTAGCCGGCCCGGCTAAAATAACTGGATGGCCTACCTGCCTGTCAGCCTTCCATCTGTGCACAAACTTATCTCGTGCCCTCATTGGTCATGTGCGCGTTCGTGTGTGTTGGAGGAGGGGCTCTGTAAGGAAGTGGCAGATATTTTCCGGCTGTGTATTTTCAAATTCTAGCCCACTCAAGCTGGTTTCTCCAAAATTACCTACCTACCTTTAAGTCATACTAAACTATTACATTTTTTCATCATAATGTACTATGTAGTTTTTTCAGATTTTGGTCATACTATAATATGACTTTTTTTCGACATACCATACTTAGTTGTTTTCTGATATTTTCGACTTATCCTATGTTGTTTTTTGTGTATATTTTCAACAAACTTTACATTGACCTTTTTTCGACGTACTCATCATACACATACACATCAGTTTTCTCATCAGTTGTTTTTAGTGGAGAAATCGACATAAACCAGGCAAATGATTGATAAAAGTTAGCTACTAGAGCAGGAGAATTAAAGCAAAGCTAAAAAAAAACAGGAAAGATCTGAAAGACCAGTTGAATAGTTTTACAGAATATAAATATTAATTTTATTAAAATGTCATTCACTCATAAATAATATACAGAAACACAACAATCGCTGCAACCTTTGTGGCTGTATGAGTGTATGTGTCACATGTGTGCTTGGAGGTGTGTGTCCTTGGGTGTACAAACATCTCTTATATACAGATTTATAAAATGGTCCATAATTTCTGACGCAGGAATAAGTGAGGAAAATGTCCCTTTTTCCTTCTGAGATTAATGGATTAAAACAGCAGTCTTCAGTTTGTTCACGTGGCTAAAACTGAAGAAAATCTCAAATGGCAGAAAAAAAGTCTTGAATACGTTGTCTTGGCTTTCTGCAAATGATGAGTCCTCAGCTCGGTGTGGTTCATTGCGGCTCGTAGATGCTGTTGGGCTCAGCAGAGGAACTGGAGCCTGCAGGGCTGCTCTGAGGGGATTCAGGGCCCCGGGGGACCACGCTGTCGCCTGGGGGGGCCGGAGCAGGGTCTGTGCTGATCCGCTGTACGATGCTGGACAAACAGTCCAAACTGGAAATGAGCGATGGTTTACTGCTGGAATCTGTAAGAAAAATAAACAGGCAACATGAGTTTCTGCTCAGTTGGCTTCAAAATGTTTGTATTTTTAGGCGAAATAAGTCAAATAACGAGTTGTTTAAAAAAGAAAATCCAACAAGGTCATAGTACCACTTTACAATAAGACTACCCTTATAAAGGATTCATAAAGGGTTTATAATTAGGTTATGAATTAGGTTGTAAACACTTTATTAATCATTAAGAACCATTTATAAACCAGTTCTAACATAGTTTTCATACATCAACACAGGCTCACTATTTGGCAAGATGACTAAGCCTTATAATGGCTACTTAGCGAGAATCAACTCAGTGAGCAACAGATACCAAGGATGCTGGCTGATGAAGAAGACGAAGTAAGCTACAGTAGGTAGCCAATATAAGGCTTAGCAGTACAGATAAATGTGGGCTCACTATTTGGCAAGCAACCGGTCACAGTTGCCCTGTTTATCTCATGTCTTATAAAAGCTTGTTCATGATTTATAAAGTGTTCATAACCTAATTAATAAATTAATTACAAACTATTCGTAAACCCTTTATAAGGGTAGTCTTATTGTAAAATAAAATAATACTTGGGTTAAAGGAGGAATCAGGCACATAAATGGAGCAGCAAGTTACTTTAAATTCCAGTGTTGACATAAAAAAAAAGTTTTACATTAAAGGTGGGGTAGGTCATTTCGGAGAAACCAGCTTGAGTGCGCTAGAATTTGAAAATACACAACCAGAGAAAATCTGCCACTTCCTTATAGAGCCCCTCCTCCAACACACACGAATGCGCACATGACCAATGAGGGCACGAGATAAGTTTGTGCACAGATGGAAGGCTGACAGGCAGGTAGGTCATCCAGTTACTTTAGCCGGGCCGGCTAAAATGATTGGTCGTGCTTTTTACAGTACTACGGCTTCCACAGATGACATTTTTTTATGGATTTGTTGTCAAAGCACTTAAGATATTCATTGCTATGGGGATGTTAAGAGCATTCCATGGAATATAACAAAAAGTGTATCTCGAGCCGGTTTCTCAAACTTACCTACCCCACCTTTAAGTAATATAAAGGAGGAAGCTAGTTGTATTGAAATAAAGAATGTTTAAGTTCTAACACCATCAGAATGTCCCATTAAAACAGAAACTGGTCAAATTAAAAGAGAAACAAGTTCTTCTAAAAGAGAAACACATCAAGAAAAAGCAGTGACAGGGTTGAAGATGAAACTGACCGTCTGGGTGGCTGCAGTAGGAACCATCACTGTTCTCGCTTCTGGATGAACACGGAGAGATGAAATCCATCTGGAAACACAAATCAATAAAGTTGTAAGTCAACAATTGTACATCAATGATCAATTAGTGGACACAATGTTTAAAAAGAGGAATGATACACAGAGCTGGTTACAATTCAAAAATGTCACCTGTGTCAGAAAACGCACCAAATGTGTTGCCTTTTTAACATGTTGAATTAAAAGAGTTTAATTCAGTAAAATAATCAGTCTTATCACCTCTGTGTGCCTCTTAACACACTTAAGAGTCAGTGTCCATTCCAATCTTTAGCATGTTTAGCATATCTTAGATCAAAAAGGATAAATATGCATTTGTAACTTGTAAACTCAATCTGCCTCTTGGAATCAAGACTCCACTTTGCAACACACCCACAACGTGACATTGTCCAATAATCTTTCAAATGACATAACAAATTGAAAATCATATTTTGGGTAGTCTATCTAAATAATGATGTGTTGGTTTATTTTCAAAAAGCAGATCATTGCATTTGGATGCTTTCTTTCCAAATCAATACCACATTGATTACAATAATGGTGGAAGAAGAGCATTTCTTTTGATTTAGTGAAAGAAAAATATTTTGGACAAAAATGTGCCTAAAAGTGTGCCTTTATTTTAAAGAGTTCCTTCAATGAAAATGTATTGAAGTGCTGTGGCCGAAAATAAATATCCCAAAGGCATTCCAAACATCTCATGAGGCAGCACATGAAGCGCTCAGCTGTTCTCACCATGCCATCGGAGCAGTTGGAGCGCGGGCTGGAGGCGTCTGAGTCCCCGCTGTAGTGCTCCATGGGCGGGTAGAAGCTGTCCTCCCTGCCGGTCCTGAGCAGCGACTGCAGGGACTCGATGTAGCTGATAGCGTTGCGCAGGATGTCCACTTTGGGCAGCCTCTGGTTTGGATTGGACGCCGTGCATCGCTTCAGGGTCTCAAAGGCGTTGTTGACCTTTCCCAGTCGCCGCCTTTCCCGCATTGTTGCTGCTTTCCTCCGGTCTTCGTTTGACGTCTTTCTCTTGCAGGCCTTGCAGGCCCAAAGCAAGCAGTGCCCCGCCTGGTGGGGGCCCCCAGGAGCCCTCACATGCTCGTCCTCCTCCTCCTCTGCGACTGGGACGTGGTGGTGATGATGGTGATGAACATGGTCATCTGGCTTGAGCAGGCCAGCGTGCATCAGCCGGGAGTCCAGGTCATCAAAAAAGTTCATGTCGCTGGTGCTGAAGCAGGGGTCATCGTAAAGGTCATCAGCAGACGAGAGAGGGAAGGGAAGGTCGGACAGATCCATCTGAAGAAGAGTCCCTCACAGCGACAAGAAGAAGAAAAGTTCCTCCAAAAGTTCCTCCGATGACAGAGAAAGTCTCCACAAAGTATCTTTTATAAAAGAAAGAAATAATATAGGATGAAAATATATATGTCTCCTTAAAGTGTCCTGTCAAACTCAGCTGATCTAAAGTAGAACGTGTGTGCTGAGGAGATCTGTGTGTTTAAAGGGCCAGTCTGTGTAACTTCAACTCCCTCAGCTAGCCAGCTTTATAAAGAAGTCAGTGTAGGCGGGGCTGTGGTCAAATTACCAATGAACTGAGGGGTGTGTGTGTGTGTGTGTGTGTGTGTGTGTGTGTGTGTGTGTGTGTGTGTGTGTGTGTGTGTGTGTGTGTGTGTGTGTGTGTGTGTGTGTGTGTGTGTGTGTGTGTGTGTGTGTGTGTGTGCGTGTGTGTGTGTGTGTGTGTGTGTGTGGCAGGTGTCACTGAGTTGAAACCCAGCAACAAAAAGGAAGCAATAAAAAAGTCTAACCTAACAAATCATTCAGCCTTCTGATGTTTACCAATGGACATACAAAACTCAAATGATCTTTGAGATGTTAAATATAACAATTGTATTGTGTAGATTCCTGTCATTTTGTAAAGCTAATGTTAGGACCATTTTACTGCAGGCGGTTTTGACCTGATATCTACTTATAATAACTGTTAATATAGCTCCTCCTGTCATATAGTTTAGGATGACAACTATTTGGAAAATATATACACTCGTGTAAATAAATATATATCCCAAAAATTGTTAAAGGTCACAATATATTTAACACATAATATATAGATTGTTCGCAGTGCTGAATCGTAATATCATAATTGTTATTATGGGATACAAACAGTGATATATCAGCAATAACAAAGCCATATCTATATCACAAGTCAGTATAGCATTATACAGAGATCTGATTTTTGAGTGTTTTGATGTCTTTAATTGTGATCCTAGCTGTAATAAAATAAGAATAAAACGTATAAAACCAACAAATGTTTTTGGAACAATCATGTGTATTACTTGGTTAAGTTTAAAAAGAGCAGATTTCTGAAAGTTGTCAGGTTTAAGAAAAAATGAAACTTTCCAATGATGACACCCATTACATTAAAATAACAGTAAAGTAAGTGTATCTGTTACATTACGGGAGCTTTGTCTAAATTTGTGCAGTTATATCTGACTGACAGAGAACTGAATGCTGGGAGCTTCAGTATGATGTCCTGCTGAGGAGGTCATTATGTCACACAGTCGTGAGGTCTCTGATCCCAATGTGTGTGTGTGTGTGTGTGTGTGTGTGTGTGTGTGTGTGTGTGTGTGTGTGTGTGTGTGTGTGTGTGTGTGTGTGTGTGTGTGTGTGTGTGTGTGTGTGTGTGTGTGTGTGTGTGTGTGTGTGTGTGTGTGTGTGTGAGAGAGAGAGAGAGAAAAGGGGGGCGGGGGGCATCACTGGATAACAGTTTAAGACAATTTGTCCGAAGAGGTGAAATGATCCCAACTCACAAGACAGACAGATTTTAAGTTTGTTTAAAGTTCTGTTCTGTTGTTGCTAATGTGGGCTCTGCTGAAGTCACAATGGTTTTGCATTAATGCATTGTATTTAATATTTTTCTTTTACAGAGCCTGATCTTGAGAAAATCTAGATATATGGCAAGTTTATTATTATTTAGCACACATAATAAAAAGTGGGATATGTGTTAGATTTTGTAATTGATAATGCAAAACCCCTAACCCTAACTCTCAAACCTGAAAACGAAACAGTAGCCAACTTTAAAAACTGAATATAAAGTTACATCTATCGGGCAAATAATATTTGATGGCAGTCAAGATTTCTACTATTGTTACAAAATACATACTTATATAAGTTCTCATATTACATTTACATTTATTTGTTTATTTTTGGATAGCAAAAGCCAGAATGAATTAACACGCCCACACGGAGACGATATCAGTTGAATCCGCAAACGTTCTCTATCGTATAGACGGTTCGTCCACACGAGGCCGAAACGGAAACATGGATACGGAGCCCGAATCCGATACACTTTGATAACGGCTCCCAAAGTGGGTAGGTCTGAGGACGAAACGCTTGCGGCTCCGTGTGTACGCCCTATACGATTATTTCCTGAAAACGATGACGCCATAGCCCCGCCTCTCCCCACCTCTCCTGCTCACCCCCGCGTCATTGCTGATGCGTTTCGCCAACAACAACAACAATGGCGGATCACAGGGTTGCGTTCGTGCTCCAGACGCTACTGACCATGATACAGATTTTAGTGCAAAATCTACAGCTCCACAACCACAACCACACAACCACAACCATCAGCAACAATAATAATATAATATAATAATAATAAACGTCATCCGTCTTATTCGCTGCTTTTGGTGTATTTTGTGGCGGAGGTACAGAGCCACTTACAGGTCCGGCATATGTACTACAGCGTCTCCAGCGTTTTCGAGCGTTTCCGTGTGGACGGAATACTTTTTTGAAAACGACTAAGGTTAGTTTTCGTTTTCGTCTCCGTTTCGTCTCCGTGTGGACGGGGCCTAAATGTATGTGTGACACCTAATTGTAATTCTCAAAACCTATGTGGTGTTTGTTTATTTGTTTGTTGTCCTGTAAAAGTGAGATTTTTCGCAGCTTCAGAGACTTACAGTGGTGGTGTGGGACAGAACAGCTCAGATCACTCACAGCTTGATGGGAAGGCAGCATGTTAAATTTAGCAGCTCGTGAAATCCAAGACAAGTGCCCTTTCAACTGAGGCTGGTATCATTTCGGAATATCCCCGACTCTCACACTCCCTCCTCTTCCTGGGACACATGCAAATAAACCAAAAAGAACATGAACCTGATGGCAGCAGAATCAAATGCAGGAAATTGTGTCAGTCCTGGAATATTTCAACAATTGTCCAGCTCTATTAAAGAGCTTTTATCAACAGATGTACAATGCAATGTTTACATACTGTACAAAGGAAAGCAGATAAAGTAAAACAAAAGTAAATAGGTCACACATTTATTTATTGCATAAAATGTTCCAAAAGTATTTAATATTATAAAAGTGTGATTAATAGACTGCTTTTTGTACAGGCTAGATATCATATGGAAGAGGATAGGGTCCACATGTTGTTTATTTTTTAGATCTGACCAAAAGTAAATTTTTGTTTTTGAATTCTGAGAAAAATATCAGAATTTTGATTATAAAGTCAGCCTTTTTGTCTGAGATTCAGACATAAGGGCAGGTACTACTGGTATATATTTGTATTACATTTTTGTGACCTACATTTCTTCAGTGAGTTATTCAAAATTCCGTTTTTTAAAGGCTTTTTTTGTCAACAACAAGAGTTCACTGTTGGTTTTAGTATTTTCTAGAGATTTGTATACTATAGGAAGAATAAGTGCTATTGTAAGCATTGGGTTGAGAGGTCATGTGTTGTGAGCATGCGCAGTCTGTCCTGGAGTGGTGAGAGAGAGTGTGGTGTGACTCGACGATTAATAAACGGAGGCGCTATCTGTGACGCTCCAAAAAGTACTAAGTTCCTGAGTTTTTGTTACACAGAAGTATTCTTGAAGCCTTAACACCTCGGACGTTACACTATCACCAGACTTGTCCTTTCAGTTGAGAGAGTATTGCCTCATGATGACAGACAGTGTTAAAGATGAATCCTGCAGTCTGATACTCAACTTTACAGTCTGTTCCTATAATCCTGCGATACATTTGGAAGATGAATCTGCTATAGAGAGGCGAAGTCCCTCCCTTTCCGGTGGACCTCCATGGGACCTTATTTCGAAAAAATTATGTATTGAAGTCAATGGCGAGAGAAACATTATCTTTCGATCCCGTTTGAATTGTGACACGAATTACACATATGATATTTGTCAATTTAAAAGATAATTTTGCAAGTAAAAAAAAATATATTTTGCCGTATAACTGTGAAGTAAGACTTTTTTTGTGTGAAACCGCTCAATGAACTACATCTCTGGTCTCGCACAACAACACACGTCACCAAGATGGCCGTCACTAATGTCTTGCCAAACAAGGGATTGACTACCCTCACTATCACCACAATGAAACACGTCCAGAAGAATGTCATGCAAAGCTGCCTGCCTGCCTGCCTTCCTTCGATTCTCACTGAACTGCCTGATCTTTTTAATGTTCAATGTTAACCATTTGTACCATGAAGTAATAAAAGATCGCCGATGCTAATGTAGCGTTAGCATGTCTCCCTCGGGGGCATCCGGGCTTAAAGGTGTATTATAGAATGATCACACCGGTGTGACAGTACTCTTCAAAGGGTTCATGAAATATGACTACTACTCTACTGTTTAACACTTTGGTTAACTTAATGTTACTTCATGTTAAGGCTAATACAAATGACAAGGCTAAGGCTGTAATGCTAACTAACGTGCTTGCTACTAGCTAGGTAGCTAACTTGATCCAGCCAGCCACTCCTGGTCCTTTCATCAGACGGGAAGCGAAAGAACGAGTAAGACCCATTGCTGGTATGATTACAGCCTGGTACAAAGCACACAGGCATATTGTTAAAGTTATCTTATCTTAGCTATCTCTTATATTTAGTCGAGGAAAACAATTATGACATCACTTACGCGACTCTGGGATTTGTAGTCTTTCTAGTTGTGTATTTTTCATAGTCTTAAGGCCCAGACACACCAGGCCGAAATCGGCCGTCTTCGGTTGTCTGACGTGTTGAATCGGCCGTGTGTCGGACACAAGCTATCGGGCCAAGAAACCACTCTGATCAGCTGTTCAGCTAGCAAATGAGAAGCGAAACGGAAGTGAGGGACATAAACAAACGATTTAAGAAGGCACAGGACAGCAGCTAAACCCCAGCAGGTGATACTTAAAGACATCAAACATAGCCCTTAAATGTCCTCTCTTACCTCCCACACATAGCAGGGACATCTCTGATATCGGCGGGAGCGTCTCCGGCTGTCCTCTGCTGAGAGCTCCGTGATTTGTTTGATCAAGTCCGGTTTTTCATCTCATCGGTTTATTTGTCAGTATAAAGTTGCAGGATTAGTCTCAAGTACCTCAACATTGTTCTTAAGTA